TAGATTTTTTAGATCATACATGACCTTGTGTAATTTAATATTATAATATCATTATAGAGTAGGTGTATTTGGAGTTTTTATTTCCAAATCAAGTGGAACTTTTATATAAATATTTGTATCAAGAAAATCATACAGATATATAATTATCACATCTATGAAATGCATCTCAAGAGTAGCATGGATTGCCATTCTAATAATATATCAAAATATAATTGAATCCATGACTAGAAAACATGTGGATTCATAATCAATGCAAAACTATTAGATAAATTCTTGGGCAATAAGACGAGCTTTATAGCAAATTTATTGATCTTTAACATCTCGCTTGCATACTAATACCATCTTATATCCTACATGGCAATGTGTAAGAGTGTCCATAATTGGATCAAAGACTTTTCTCTTATGAAAAGAAATATATTCCTTTTCAATGGCATTTTTCCATTTTAATAAGTCAAAGTAATACATTACTTCATTAATGATTTGAGATTTAGGATCTTCTTCCTCATAATAAAAAGTTTTTGCAATCATGGATGCAAATGATTCATTTATTATAATACATGGTCTATCCCAAATATTGTTTGTAGTACAATATAGAATAAATAATTTTGTACTCAATTTGATTTTATTCCTTATAATATGAAGATTTTCTATTACATGACGTGAAGATATAATTTTAATAGATATATTACCATTAATTGATGGTTTGATAAGTTTAGTAGGAATTTCCATAGAAACAATACCAGAATCAATGCATGTTATAGCCTTCTTTTTATATAGTTGCTTATTTAATCCACGAGTCTTTTTGGTTTTTGATGTTGTAAACTTAAGTATATTAGTTAATGGTATTGTAATCTCAGTAAGTGTATTTTGAGTCTTATTAATAGAAACTCTTATAATCCAAGGTATACCATTGAAACCATTAAGTATTTCATTTGTGATCCATTTTAGATACAAAAATTTGACAACTTCAGTTTCAGCCAAAGATATTCTAGGATCATAATTCATTATAAATATTTTTGGTACTTTAAATATAAGTATTATATTTTTTTTAATTAGATACTCTTCTTTAAAGAGATGGAAATATATTCTCTTCAAAACATGCATGTAATAATATGCTGATTGATGGATCAACAATACAAATAATGCTTGATGAATCAAAACCAATATAGATGCCTTCTTGTCAATGAGCTTTAATGGTGCACTATTGAGGTTCTGGTATTGGAATTCAAATATGACAATCAAACATTTGTAAGTGAGATATATTAGGAACATGACCTAGAATGAGTTCTCGTGGTATAATAATTTTAAGAGAAGAGGGAAGGAGGCATATTAATGCTGTAGCATGCAAAATTGCATGATCCCATATAGATGCAAGTAAATTTTTTTGAAGAAAGAGTGGTCATGTAATGAGCTGTATATGCTTTATAAATGACTTTATAAGTCTATTTTGAGCATGTTTATGTAGAACACAATATATCAATTCAATCCCTATTGCAATATAATAGTCTTCAAAAGAATTCGATGCAAATTCTTTTGCATTATTCATACTCAATATTTTCATGGAATAATCAAGAAAATATATCCAAAAAAAAAATAAGTATAGATATTAGATTAGAAAACACCATGTTTTAGATTGATAATAATATATCATGTGATTGTTTATCTAATGCATCAACAAGGACCAAAAAGTAATGAAATGGTCTAGATATTGGATTAATAAGACTATAAATATCACCATGCAATCTTTCAAGCATTGGTGGTAATTTTCATAGGAGTTTTTAAATTGAAGATCAAACAATCATCTTACCTTGTACACATGCACAACATAATTTCATTGAATTTGTATCTGCAAGTTTTAAATTATATCCAATTATACATAGAATTATCTTTTGAAATAAATAGAATTTGGATGTTCCAATCGTCTATGCCAGAGAGAAATACAATTCTTTGTGATAGATGATGTAAAATTAAATATAATAGAAGGCCAAATTACAATGTGATATAAACTATTTATTGCAGCAAAGGATTTTTTAATAATTTCATGGTTTTGTACAAAAACCAAAAATTCTCACCTATCTAGAAAAGCAATTGAGAGATAATAACCATTGGCATGTATATCTTGATAGCTGATCAAACTCCAAGGTATTGAGGGTATAAACATTGTATGTTTATATTTTATGATGGAGTTTGTAAGTAATTTTACTATTGCTATTTTCTTCTAGAGACGAAATGCATTTCTTTTAGCCATGGCCATCAAATTTCTAATTTGTCAAGTTGAAGATTTTTCAATAAAAAATTGTCTATCTTGAAGGATAGTATGTATTATTGCAGAATCAATGAGCACATTATTTCACTTATCATTAGAGGTTTTTTCATTCATATAAGCCTCTAAATCATCAATATCAATTGACTCCATAGACACATCCATAGTATGAACTTCATGAGCCTCAGCTCAAAGTTTCTTATTTTTTTAGAATATTTTAATAAAATATTCTAAAGTTCGGCATGCATGTATTAAATGTCCAATCATGCCACATTTATAGTAAGAACGCATCTTTGATTTTTATTTTTCATTGTAATTAGTAGTAGAACATTTATTTTTTCCATATGGATGAAAATGGTCACAACCATAACTGCCTTGGTGCTTATGAGCATCTTTTCCATGTTTGTATAATTTTTTTTAGACTTTGAAATATTAAATACATGAGATTCTGGAACCATGGTTCCAATAGGACAAGCTTCTACATTATGCAAAAGTAGCTCATTTTGTTTCTCTATGAGAAGTAGAAAGGACATAAAATCAAGATGATTTTAAAATTTCATGTTCCTATATTATTTTGTAAGCATAGCAAATGGAGGAGGAAATATAGAGAGATTTTTTCCAATCATTTCTTCTTCAGAGATATTTTGTCTATACAACCATAGTTGTGAGACAATACAATATATTTCACTATTGAAAGCATTAAAATTATAAAAATCTAAGACACATAAATGTGTCCAATCATGATGTACACGTGGAAGGAAAATGGTCTTTTGATGATCAAACTTGGATTGAAGATTCTTCAAAAGCTTGGCTAGATCTTCCATTTCCAAATATTAATGTTGCAATGCATGCACAAGTTGATGACAAAGAAGAAGTGCTGTCCAATGGATATCAAGAAGAATAGAAGTACTTATAGCAAGAGATTCTTCAAACAGAATTACATTTGAGAATTGTTTTGTAAATAAATTTACTTTTACTATTTTTGCCTATAATAGATAATTATTTCTATCAACAACCAATGATAGAAATAGAAGAGCTTGAAAACGTTGGAATGCAATGGTGATAGTTGAAAACATAGTAGAGGTAGTTGAAGATGTTGAAGCACTCATTATAAATAAATTTGTGAAGAAAATACAAGATTAAGTAAAAAAAATTGAGTAAAATATACCTTAAAATATAAAGTCAAATAAAAAAATAAAGTTGAAGTTAAAATCCAAAATATTTTTTTTAATTTTTTATTCTTTTTATTTTTTTTTTACAAAAATAAGAGTCTAAAATGGATTATAGTGGAAGCAGCAAACGGTGGATGATGGATGGCGATAATGACGACAATGGCAACAGTGATGACAACAATAGATAGTGATGGCAATAAGGAACATTGACGACAATAGCGATGGCTATAGTGATGACAATAATAATAACAACACCAGATAATAAAGATAGGCGAGAGGAAGCAGCAAGTATCAAGCAACAAGAAGCAAGTAGACAAGTAGCAAGTAAGTAATAAGTAGGCAGGATAATATAATATAGGAAAAAAAATGAAGGAAAGATAAAGAACAAAGTGTATATAAGTTTTTAAGAACCAAGAGTAGTATATAAAAATGGTCATGGTAATAACATGTTAAGAATGTTTTAGAGAGAGACACAAGAATAGCTAGAAGTAATGTGTACACACATACAAAACACACACACACATACAAGAAAGTACATAGAAGGAGAGAGAGCTTCTAAACAAAACTATGTATTGATGTGGTTGTCACACTTATATATAAAAGAAGGAGGAGAAGAAAAGTAGTTTCTCCTCACTACATTCTAAAAATTGTAGCTGCAATATTCATTGCAACTACAATGAATATTATGGAGAGTGCCGACTACATTTAATGCTCTCAAGAGAAGGCAAAGCAATGTAGATTATTATACCTTATTATAATTTTTTAGATTTGTGTCCATTATATCTTTTTATTTTATTTAATTCAATAAAAAATATATATATTTTAATATTCTTTTAAAATATATATATATATATATATATAATTTTAATAAAAAACAATTAATAAGAATGAGTTGTTGTAGTAGTAACAAAAATTGTGGTAGCAGATTATGGTGAGAATAGCAAAAACCATCACGGCATTGACAACACCCATCATATACCGTAAAAGGGTTTACAGGGTACATTGATTTCAATAATGAAACCTTGTGAAATGAACCATCGTGTACAAAACAATTCCCAACCTTCTTGTATTGTAATACAGTTGTGGTCCCAAGATACTTATATATATAAATATATCTTAGCAAAGCTTGTGTTGGTTTTCATGCAATCGAGTACAGCTGCAGATCAGCCTTCCATTCGAAGTTTCCTGCATTGGAATACCATGGAAAAGAAAAGAAAAAAGTGTCACAAAAGGGGCACTCACTCACTCCAGTGTAGTAACCGCAACCGCAACCGCAATTTCACATGCACGAACACGCCGACTCCAAGTCAGTCGAACACGCAAAACCGTCGTCGACACGCAAAGGGTGACACACTTGCACACACACCCGCCAATCCCCAAGTGTCTAGATTTTTAAGATGATACTCTTTAAATCTCGGCATCCACACAAATCCGAGGTCCGCTCAAATCCTGGTTCTCAAAAAAGAAAGGCTCGCCTCTCACCAACAAATATTATCAACCAACGGCCAGGATGGTCTTACGTGGTAGCCACCCAGCTGACCACGATGCCGAACCCCATCCGAAAGGAGGGACACACAGAAAGCTTGGAGCTTGAAGGGCCCCTTTAGAATGGACCCTCGGAGAATTCGAGATTCAATTCCAATCACACTCCCTACCCCCCCTCAGCCTCCACTTACTACAAGTGGTCGTCTGTTCTGCCAGAAACAAACCAATCTGCAGCACGCAGGTTTGTGTTCATGCTCTTGTTGTAATCCTGTGTGTTCAGTTTTTTTATGAGGAATTTGGTTGCTTTTCGTGCAATTTTGTCGTATTGGGAGTTCAGTATTAGATCTGAGCATTCAAACTGTGTTTTTGCTGGTTGATGTGGTGTCTGAGGATTGAATCGTGGAGGTGGTTTGTGTGTGCAGGACCTGGAGGTACCTGGATAAGTAGTGAGAAATTAGGGGATTTTTAAGTGATTAGTAGCGATGGCACAGGTGATGGGATTGACAGCATTGCCGTCATGCGCGATTAGCGAGGGTGCTGTTGCGGGTAACAGAGTTTTGAGGACGAGGGGAGCAGGGAAAGCGTTTTCGAGGTCGACGTTGTTGGGTAACCGGTTGGCGTTAGCTGTGTCGGTAGAGCTTGCCGCATCGAAGAAGAGAAGCCTCGCCGCGAGAGCTTCCTTCAAGGATGTGAACACCATTCCTGTCGCCACCATGGCGTCACTCGTCCTGGCTCTCGCCGGGAGCCCTGCCATGGCTGCCGATTTGCCTACTCCTCCTCAATTCCAACAGACTGCTACTGAAGCTGTCCAGGCCCAGGCCAAGACTGCAGCGAATGCGTTGTCAGGTGCGGCTGTAGCTGCACCTCCAGTTGCTGTGAAGAAAGTCTCGGACCTTCCCGAAGGTGCGAACTGGCGTTACAGCGAGTTCTTGAATGCTGTGAAGGCAGGAAAGGTGGAGAGGGTTAGGTTTGCCAAGGATGGCACCACGCTGCAATTGACGGCAGTCGATGGAAGGAGGGCTAATGTCACCTTGCCCAATGACCCCGACTTGGTCGACATCCTCGCTATGAACGGCGTCGACATCTCCGTCTCCGAGGGTGAGGCAGCCAACAATTACATCAATGTGTTGGGCAATCTGCTTTTCCCTCTCTTGGCCTTCGGTGGACTGTTCTTCTTGTTCAGAAGGGCTCAGGGTGGCCAAGGGGGCCCTGGAGGTATGGGAGGACCCATGGACTTCGGCAGGTCGAAATCCAAGTTCCAGGAGGTACCCGAGACTGGTGTCACATTCGCCGATGTCGCAGGAGCCGATCAGGCCAAGCTTGAGCTTCAAGAAGTTGTGGATTTTCTGAAGAACCCTGACAAATACACAGCCCTAGGTGCCAAGATTCCCAAGGGATGTTTGCTCGTCGGTCCTCCCGGAACAGGAAAGACTCTTCTCGCAAGGGCTGTGTCCGGAGAGGCCGGTGTTCCTTTCTTCTCATGCGCAGCCTCAGAATTCGTTGAACTCTTCGTCGGTGTGGGAGCTTCTCGTGTCCGCGACTTGTTCGAGAAGGCCAAGGCTAAGGCTCCTTGCATCGTCTTCATCGATGAGATTGATGCCGTGGGTAGGCAGAGAGGAGCCGGTATGGGAGGAGGAAATGATGAGCGGGAGCAGACCATTAACCAACTGCTTACAGAGATGGACGGTTTCAGTGGCAACAGCGGAGTCATTGTGTTGGCTGCCACCAACAGACCCGATGTCCTCGACTCCGCTCTTCTCCGACCTGGACGATTCGACAGGCAGGTTACCGTTGACAGGCCAGACGTTCAAGGTCGTGTCAGAATTCTTCAGGTACATGCCTTGAGTTCTTTCTACTTCAATACACCATCCTATCTGCAGCCTCTTTTCTCAACTTGATTATGCTTCTATCTTATCGAATGCTCTCTTGTCTTAATCCTTACGAATTTGCATTTATGGCTTTCTTCATGAGTTCAGCAGAAATTGTATACTGATGAAGAAGTTGGTTTCCAGGTTCACTCTCGTGGAAAGACATTGGCCAAGGATGTCGATTTCGAGAAGATTGCAAGGAGGACACCAGGGTTCACCGGTGCCGACCTACAGAACTTGATGAACGAGGCTGCTATCCTGGCAGCAAGGCGGGAGTTGAAGGAGATTAGCAAGGACGAGATTGCCGATGCATTGGAGCGCATCATCGCTGGTCCAGAGAAGAAGAACGCCGTCGTCTCCGAAGAGAAGAGGAAACTGGTTGCGTACCACGAAGCTGGACATGCCTTGGTTGGTGCTTTGATGCCCGAGTACGACCCAGTTGCCAAAATCTCCATTGTGCCCCGTGGTGGCGCTGGAGGATTGACCTTCTTTGCTCCCAGTGAAGAAAGGCTGGAGTCCGGCCTCTACAGCAGAAGCTACCTCGAGAATCAGATGGCTGTTGCTCTGGGTGGACGAATTGCGGAGGAGCTCATCTATGGTGCCGAGAATGTCACCACCGGTGCTTCCAACGATTTCATGCAAGTCTCTCGTGTGGCTCGCCAGATGGTGGAGCGATTCGGCTTCAGCAAGAAGATTGGGCAACTCTCACTCGGCGGTGGTGGTGGCAACCCGTTTCTAGGCCAGTCTGCTGGACAACAATCCGACCACTCCATGGCTACTGCCGATGTTATCGATGCCGAAGTGAGGGAATTGGTTGAGACTGCCTACACTCGCGCCAAGACGATCATGGAAACTCACATCGATATCCTACACAAGCTCGCGGCGTTGTTGCTGGAGAAGGAGACTGTTGACGGCGAGGAGTTTCTCAACTTGTTTATTGACGGACAAGCTGAGCTCTACGTGAACTAGACGACGGTGGAATGGCTTCGTCCATGTAGAGATTCTTTGGCAGGTTGACGAGGGTCAAAGGACGGAGGGACCGAGGACGGAATTTTATTTTATTTTATTTTACTTCTATTCAAAAACTTTTGTTCAATATTTTGTTAAAAAGCAAAGATTTTTATGGTATCTGCAGGGGCAGTGATCGGTCCTCCGAAGATGCTGTATCGGCTGTACACTACTCGTAGAAAAGAAACTGACCTGGTGATTGATCTTGCCGTGTTGTAAACAACTTTTCTCACGTCTGTCCGTCGCTTCCCTTCAAACCGTGAGTCTTGCTACTCTTCCTGTTCTAAATTGCTATTAATGAAATGAGTGAATTGTTCACTCACCCTCGACGATGTCGTATTGCTTGTGTTCCTCTTGCAAACTGGGAAATGTCTCACTATTTTCTCATTTGAAATGTTCTTCTTTCACATCTACAATATAACGTTGATCAATTTTTCGTATGCTCTACATTTCAAGCAACCATTTTTTCCTTGCAAATGTTGCATTTTGTGAATCAGACGCCTGGTTGATATGATGAATTTAAATATGTGCCATGAATGTTTTAGATACCTACTGATAGACAAAATTGTGTTGATATTATATGTGGAAGAGAAATTCTTGCAAATAACTATATCAAATATAATATATATTGCCCTTAAGCAATACGAGAAAAACTCACTACTGTCCATTCGGAATTTAATGAGACCATTATAATACTCATGTACGATGTTGAATTCGAACTCTTGTGCTAAGAAATATGTTGTAAATACTGAGCTTGTGTGCCACATTTACATTGTTTTTCTTGTCTGTTTTTGATGTACCGTAAGGAATCATTTGCATGTATACATACATTTTTCATATGTTACTACATGAAACTCCATTCAAGCAACATCGAACTAGGTTAGTGATTTCTAAGGATGCAGTTTTGCATATTATTCATTTTGTAAAGTGTTCTTTTGTAACACCACCAAAAACTTCATATAAACTCCAATTATGAACATTCGACGTCACCTAGAACAAGCCAGACTTTCTAAAAATACTGAGAAGATCCAATTGGAAAATTTCCCAAATTTATTTTCATTAATATCCAAAATAATTTTGATTATCTTGAAAAATATGTCAACTTTTAAATTATATATATATATATATATATATATATGTAAGCATTAATTATTTAATGTTAAGTATTACAATATTCTCACATTCTTCAAATAAGAAATATAGTGAAAAACTTTAAAAACTAAAAACACCAATATTCTAATTAACTCACCTTGTTAAATATGTTTAGAACTCAAAAAAGTTACAAAATTTTCTGGCATGTGCTACATGTCTGCATTTTTTTCAAAAATAAAACACTATTTCAACCCAAAACATCATTTCTTTAAAAATCAATATTAAAAAATATAATATTTAGTTGAATGCCATTTACCATTATTAGAAGTTGAGTTGTTTTTCAAAATAGTTGATATAATTTTTTTAAACTCATATAAAGTACTATTATCTTATAAAGTTATATTAAGATTTAAGATGAATAAATATTCAAGAATTTTATCAAATAATATTATGATTATTCACTATTTTAATATTTTTGTAATAAGATATAAGTTTTATTGTAGCTTGATTTTGATAATTAATTCGAAATTACAAAAAACTTAGATATGTAAGTGAATTTATCATTTATTACAAATAAAATATTATAATAAAGAGAGAAAATTGTTCATGCTACATCTCCTATTGATATCACTATACCCCACAAGACCTCTTTGTAGACAACCAACTAATAATATGCCTCTTTCATTTGTGCATTTTTCCTTTCATTGCTTTAAGGAAGAGTGGTTGAGAGAGAGATGATGAATATTTTATGAAAAAATAGGTCCCAAGTTGTTTTTTAAAAAAACAAAATATTTGCCTCAAAAATTATTTTTGGTTGCCAAAAATAAAAAAAAAAAAACTGATATATTGACTATTTCTATTTTTAGATCAATATTGGAATTAAATATTTTGCTATCAAATATATCCTAAACATAAAAGAATCATTTTTAGTTAATTTAGGTTGTCTAAAGGTGTCACTGATATATACATGTAAGCCAGTAATTACATATATAAATAGGTAGAAGTAAGTAAAAGTAGATAAAAATAAGTTAATTCTATAATATTTACTATGGAAGCTTCTTAGAAGCCTCATAGATGCTGTTTTGACTTTATAGGTGTCTTTAATTGACTTTTTGGATTAAAAACGTGGTCAACAAGTTGGCCATGTGCCACACATGTTGTTAGCTTGAAGACCAAGCTAACTATGTAGCCCACACGTAAAAAAACTTGCCTTGTAAGTCAAGGCATGTGTCCTACAAAGTCAACACATATTGGAGGTTCTATAGAACATCGCCACGTAGCCCCTAGTTAGATAGTATATATAGAGATAAGAGTAAAGCCTTCTTCACTCTTGTCAACTCCTTTCTTGCTTCTAGTCTAATTTCAAGGGTCTTAAGTTTTCTTGGCTTTTGGCAATAGCCATTCCAATTTCTTTCTTAATATACATATCAAGTTATTTCTATTTTGTCATCTTTTTTTGAGAGAAGTCTCACTTGTTTATTTCTTTTTATCATGTTCTTGTCCTTGATAGATTGAGAAGAGTACACTTACAATATTAGAGCTTTGTCTAATCTTGATTAAGAACAGATTATCCGTTTCTCTTGATAAGACATAAGCATATTAAAAGTTACAGATTACCCTCTTCTAAATTGATATTGTCCTTAGTATTTTCTTTGTTCTCAAGTCCTCTCTTCTATTTATCTTGAGTGATATTAGACATCTTCTTTTTTCTAAGTGTTATCATGACAGAACTTGCTGAAATGAAGAGTGCAATGGTACAAATGCAAGAGCAATTGAGGGAGTTAATGCTTGCAATGCATCAATTTAATTTACCACCACAAGGAGCAACAAGATTGGCAGGAAGTGAAGATATAGAAATGATTGGAGGTGCTTTAACATCTGCACTAAATCATATCCCTTCTCCTATGATAGAACGCCCTTCTAGTGTTAGAGAACTAAGAATTGCCCTACCCGAGAAGTTTGATGGCACCATATCAAAGTTTAGAGGATTTATCAATCAAGTACAACTTGTGATTGAATTTCAATCCCAAAGCTATCCAACTCCAAGATTGTAAGTTAGATTTATTGGTATGCTTCTTTCAAGTTCAGTATTATCATAATTTTCATCTTTTATTGAACAACGAGATTCAATATTGAATAATCTAGAGGCTTTTTTGGCAGAGTTTTGACCCATGTATGGAGAACATGATGCAATTCGTGTTACAACCAATAAGATCCATATTTTACAACAAGACATTCGATCAGTAATGTTATATGCTTCACAATTTTTATAACTTGTAACTGATATTAAGTGGGATGATGCTGCACTTATTAGCCAATTTTTCTATAGATTACAATATGAAGTAAAAAAATTAATGCTCAAGTTACTTGATCCTCAAACATTAAGTCAAGAAATTGACGTTGCTGTGAAGTGTGACAATCATCTTTTTGAATTTCGATCTGAGAACTATACAAGTGGACCTCAACGTTACTATAATTCAATGGCAACACCAATATCTTTTCAACACATGCATTCGGAAGTAGAGGATATGCAAATTGATGCGATACATTCCAAACCTCTTACTGAGCAAGAAAAGACTCGTTGTCGTCAGGAAGGATTGTGCTTATATTGTAGAGAACCTAAGCACACTACTCAACATTACCCAAAGAAGCGACACAACCATAAAATGAAGACTATGGCAATCAAAAAAGATAGCATGTCGGAAAACAAATTTTTCCAGCTACAATAGGGACCGTGCGGCTGGAACCTTGTACAACACCTAGTGAAGATCCTACCCTCTCTTCAAAACCCTCTCCATGTTTTACAATAAATGTTATTCTAGGACCTAAACATCACAAAGCCTCTGGTAGATTCAGGAGCCTTAGCATGTTTCTTAGATGAAGAATTTGCTAAAAGACACAGCATATTTTTTCTGAAGAAAACTAAACCTGTTCATGTAGAAGTTATAGATGGTCATCCGTTGTCTTTAGGAGATGTTACTCATGAAATCCTTCCTATAGAAATAGCAACTAATGGTCATAGTAGCTTTGTAATATTTAATACCATTAAATCTCCTTCTAATCCAATCATTTTAAGTTTATCATGGCTAGAAAAATATAATTCTAAAATAGATTGGACTTTTCATAGTCTTGACTTTTCTGAAAGTATAACTAAGAGCGTAGTTAATCAAGTAGAAAGTCATAAGTCTAGTATAATTAAACCTATATTTGTATGTACAAGAGCTTTCTTACATGCTGCAAAAGAAGGATCACCTTATGTCATTTATGCCACACCTATTTCTACTGGTAGAAAGACTTCAAGTGGCATTTCAAGCCAATATCAAGATTTTGAAGATGTATTTGAGAAAAAGAATGTGGATACTCTTCTAGAATATTGTTCGTATGATTGCTCAATTGACCTTCAAGAAGGAGCACAACCACCATTTGAACCAATTTACAATTTATTTCATAATGAGTTGGCTAAATTCAAGGAATATATTGAAGAGAATTTGGCCAAGAACTTCATACGCCATTCTAAATCTCTACCAGGAGCTCCAATTCTATTTGTAAAGAAAAAAGACAGATCATTGCGGATGTATGTCGATTATTGAGGACTCAACAAATCACTATCAAAAACAGGTATTGACTACCTTTGATATCTGGACTCTTTGATTAGTTGAATCAAGCTAAGATCTATACAAAAATAGATCTATGAAGAATATACAATTTGGTATGCATCAAAGAAGGAGATGAATGAAAGACTACGTTTTGAACAAGATATGGATATTTTGAATACAATGTCATGCCTTTTAGACTTACAAATGCACCAACAATATTCCAACATCTAATGAATGATGTCTTTTGGGAGTTTTTAGATGAATTTGTTGTTTGTTACCTAAAGGACATCTTGATCTATTCTAAAAACATAGAAGAACATGAACTTCATATTCGTCGTGTGTTACAAAAATTAAGAGATGTGGGACTCTATGCCAAGATAGATAAGTGTGTATTTTACACTACTTAAGTCAACTTCTTAGGAAACATCATTTCAAATGATGGACTTATGATGGATCCTAAGAAAATTCAAACTATTATGGATTGGAAGATCCCAAAAACGGTAAGAGATGTCCAATGCTTTTTGGGATTTGCCAACTACTATCAAATCTGCATCAAAGACTTCTCTCAAGTTGCAGCTTCACTTACACGTTTGACTTGTAAAGACAAACTTCAATGGAATCAAGAAGCAGAAGTAGCATTTGAAGCTTTGAAGACAGCCT